GTATCTAGGGCCACAATTTGATGAAGGGGACCATCAATTGAGCATCACCTGCCTAATGTCCTTGCTTAAAACATGCATTTAGATTTTAATATCCAAAAAACCTCCACACAAAACCGGACAGAGAAACGTTTCACAGGACAAGCACCTTTGATTCTTCAAAACAACTGCTGCATCAAAAACAACTTTTTTAAAGGAAATGTTCTCAGTTTTGGAGAACCAAACTGTAGACTTACACCTTTATCGCACTATGAGGCGTTCTCCCACAAAATCTGTAAAAGATATCTTGGTATAACCAGAAAACGTAATCATAAGCTATAAGGAGGATAATATCAGTCTATTGATAATTTCTTCAATGTGAGTGTGCTTACCAATTTCTAGCTGGAAGTCTTAGTCTTGGGAGATACACATTAAAGTAGGTGTTAAATGTGATAGATCTGATAAACTAACATATGGTTCTAGACACATCTTTATATCCCATATGCATATGATATATCAAAACACACTTGTATCTCCACTTACGTACTTTTTAAGTGCAGATATTGTCATAGTTACTTCAGCTAGCAGTTTAACACAGTCCAGTTATAAGAGGGAACTTCCACTGAAAAATTGTCTTGATTAGACTGGCCCGTTACTATGCCTGTGGCATGTTGTCTTGACTGATGACTGACGTGACGGGGCCCATCTCACTGCGAGTGGAGCCAGAGAGTGAGCGTGGCTTGTACAATAAAGCTTTCTGAACACTAGCCAGGGAAAGCACGCCAGTAAGCAGCATTTCTCCGTGGCTTCTGCTTTAAGTTCCTGCCCTGGTAGAGTTTCTGACCTGACTTTCCTCAAAGATGAACTATGACCTGTAAGATTAAATAAACCCTTTCCTGCCTAAGTTGCCTTTCGTCACGGTGCTGGGCACAGCAACAAAAATCAAGCTAGTAATCTTTAATGAAAAGTTGGAACTTCCATGTTTCTAAGTTTATGATCTTAGAGAGCTATACTTTTCTTTTTAAAACACGTCCGCATATTTCTACTTTAAATTATTCTTTTATATATTTGCAGCCACAGTGGGAACCACAGTGTGAATTTAAGAAGTCCATCAGCACCGAGTTGCAGTGTGAAACAAGCCTACCTTGGGGATGAAGTAGGCTCTGAATTTTACATCCCGGGTCACTGAATGAGGCAGGTTCATGGGGACGAGATCAATGAATCTCTGGACCTCGTGAATCATGGCATCTGTGTAGGGCATGTGGCCCCTGTCCTGCATGCAGGGGCTGCGCTGTCTGCCCACCACACGGTCAATCTCTTCCTGGACTTTAGCTGGTGAGACAAAGTGGAAAAGATGGGATGCAAGGAAAGTGGCACAACTGCCACAGCAAGTCAGCGCTACATGGGGCACGATGAAAGGGTCCCACCGGCATCATAAGCCCTAAGCACTTCAAGACTTGGAACACCGCAGGGAAGTACAACACCTAAACCATGGCATTCATTAAGCAGACATACGTCTACATATTAGCATACAGGATAACCTATGCACATAAGAATGATTAAAGTGGGGGAGGGACTGGAAGGGGCACCCT